CCGGAGCCCAGCGCAGACCCTGCGGGGGCCAGCAATAGCGCTGCCCCCACCATGTGGCTGGGAGCCCAGAACGGCTGGTAGGTGGGGCCCTGGGGCAGGGGTTGGGGAGGGTCTCCTGGGCGAGCACCCCTGCCCACCGTGGCCTCCTCCCACAGGCTCTACGTGCACTCAGCCGTGGCAAACTGGAAGAAGTGTCTGCATTCCATCAAGCTAAAGGACTCCGTGCTGAGCCTGGTGTACGTGACCCCAGCTGAGGCCGGGGTGTCGGGAGGGAGGGGCTGGCCAGCGGCCTAAGCCCGCTCGTTCACCACCATTCCATTCTAGGCATGTGAAAGGGCGAGTTCTGGTGGCCCTGGCCGATGGGACTCTGGCCATCTTCCACCGAGGTGAAGGTGAGGTCCGGGGGCTCTGGGCAGGTGAGTGGCCACCCCCTCCGCGGGCAGAGGTGGGCCCTGGCCAGGCCTGAGCAGGTGTCTGGGGCTCTCTGCAGATGGCCAGTGGGACCTGAGCAACTATCACCTTATGGACCTGGGCCACCCCCACCACTCCATCCGCTGCATGGCCGTCGTGTGTGACCGCGTCTGGTGTGGCTACAAAAACAAGGTGCACGTCATCCAGCCCAAGACGATGCAGATTGAGGTGCGTGCTGGTAGCAGGAGGGCCTCGCGGGAGGGCAAGTGGCTCCTGCTGGTGGACGGCGCTCCCAGCGTGCCTTCTAATGGGCCCTGGGGGCGTTGTGCGGTCAAGGGAGGCGACTACGTCACGGCCGGCAAAGGGCAGCTGGGCCGTGAGCGCCAGTCCGTCTGGGTTGTACCTGCTGCTTTACTCGGCAGCAAGTCAGGCCGAGACCCACAGGGGCCCCGCACGCCTCCCCAGGGCGGGGTCGTGACTACAGCTCCTCAGAGGAGCCTGCACCCCAAGGGGCAAAGCAGGCACTAGACTGAAGGCCGCAGTGAGCTGCATGGGCGTCACCGTGACCCAGCGGCCGTGGTGGGTTCAGAGCCCCCACCCCCGCTGACGGCGCTGCCATGACCCCACAGAAGTCATTCGATGCCCACCCACGGCGGGAGAGCCAAGTGCGGCAGCTGGCGTGGATCGGGGATGGGGTGTGGGTGTCCATCCGCTTGGATTCTACGTTGAGGCTCTACCACGCCCACACCCACCAGCACCTGCAGGACGTGGACATCGAGCCCTACGTCAGCAAGATGCTGGGTGAGGGGCTGCGCCGGGCTCGGGTGTCAGGGCAGGGAGGGCCCCCCACACCAGCCGTACTGACTGCCTTGCCCTCCTCACCCCAGGCACAGGCAAGCTGGGCTTCTCCTTCGTGCGGATCACAGCCCTGCTCATCGCGGGCAACCGCCTCTGGGTGGGCACCGGCAACGGAGTGGTCATCTCCATCCCGCTGACCGAGAGTGAGTGACCCCCCGCCCCGACATCTGCACAGGTGGTGGTGACTGCTGCTGAGTGACAAGAGTCGGGTGGGGTGGGGGGGCACGATCAGCCAGGCCTCGCTCTGGGGGACAGGGATGCTGCCCGCCCTTCCCGTGACTTGTCTCCTCTCCCTTCCATGCTGCGCCCCTCACCTCCCCAGCCGTGGTCCTGCACCGAGGCCAGCTCCTGGGGCTCCGAGGTGAGTCCAGAGCACCTGCCTCCTACCCTCGCAAGGAGGTCCCCACCTGAGATGCCCTGTGGGCTGAGGCTGGCCTTGCCCCTTGGCGGTGGGCGCTCTCCCACGAACCGCCCTTGCCTGCTGGGAAGCTGGTCTACTCAGGCTCAGGCCCTGTGGCCCTTCTCTCTCTTCAGCTAACAAAACCTCCCCCACGTCTGGGGAGGGAGCCCGCCCTGGGGGTGTCATCCATGTGTATGGTGATGACAGCAGTGACAAATCAGCCAGCAGCTTCATCCCCTACTGCTCCATGGCCCAGGCCCAGCTCTGCTTCCATGGGCACCGTGATGCCGTCAAATTCTTTGTGTCGGTGCCAGGTGAGGGACTGGGCCCCATCCCTGCCGGGCTGCCGTGTGGCCTCCCTCCGCGAGCCTGCGTGGGGGGCGCTGGCCACCCGGCTGAGCTCCCTGTGTCCTGACAACAGGGAACGTGTTGGCCACTCTCAACGGCAGCGTGCTCGACAGCCCCTCCGAGAGCCCCGGGCCTGCCGCCCCTGCCTCAGACGCCGAGGGCCAGAAGCTAAAGAATGTGCTGGTGCTGAGCGGCGGGGAGGGCTACATCGACTTCCGCATCGGTGAGTTGGCGCTGCCCGGGGTCCCGGGATCCCCAGCAGGGCCATCCCATCACCGCGGCTCTTTGTCCAGGGGACGGAGAGGATGATGACACTGAGGAGAACACCGGGGACGTGAGCCAGGTGAAGCCCCTGCTGTCCAAGGCAGAGCGCAGCCACATCATCGTGTGGCAGGTGTCCTACAGCCCCGAGTGAGGCTCCGGCCTCCCCCGCCCCGCCTGCCCGACGCCAACGTGTACATACAGCCCCACCTGCCTGCCCACTGCCTGCCCCGCAGGCAGCCCGGCGCCCGCCCCTCTTATAACCTCTCAACCTGCAGCTTTCACCTTAGGGCCGGGCCTCCCCAAAAGCGGGCAGCAATGCGGGTCTGGCTGGGAGGGAGGGACCCTCACCAGGAGGGGAAGAACCTCTCGGGACACGTGCCCCAGCAGCTTCTGGCTTGCCCCCGATCCCAAGTTCTCCCATCTGGGGGGTATTTTGGGGCCAGAGCAAGGCAGGAGGTAGGTCGGGCCGGAAGAAGGCCCTGCAGGCGGCTCCCAGCTCCACCCTGGACCCCCCAGAGCAGGAAGTAGGGATTTCAGCCAGCCAAGTCTTCCCAGCTGGAGCCCACTTGCCTTTGCCTGCTGCCTGAAGGGGTGGGCCTGACCCTAAGGGAGCCGGCCCGGCCACTGGCCTTCCCTAGGCCCCCCCTGCACCCACACCCTGATGCCTGCCCCGGGAATTGGCATGGAAGCACGTAGCCAGGCTGCCTAAGGCAGCTGCTTGAGAAGCCAGATGCCCTCTTGCTGCTCACTCCGTGTGGCCAGCTCTCCCCGGCTCTCCCTGGGCAGAAGACCCACCTGGTAGGAGCAGGCTCTGGAGTCCTCCCCCTCCCAGAATCCCCTAGGGTGGAATTTCTCAGGCTGCCAAGGCAGGCCCAGGCCTCAGGAAGAAGGGGAGGCCCCTGGCCTCTTCTGGGGTCAGTCCTAGGACACAGGCTCAGCCTCAGGGTGACAAGGGGACACGTGGTTCGGGGCCTGCCTCCCACACAGTCTCCAAGGAGCCCAGCTCCCAAGACACACTATGAAGTGCCTAGGGCCGGCAGCATGGCCTGCTCCCCTGAGGGCAACTGAAGACGAGCCTGCGAGGGCTCGCAGCAGAAGCTGCCTCCAGCCGGCTCTAGGCATGGATGCCTGCCGGCTTTGAGGGGTGCCGCCCTGGACTGCCACCTCCCTGACCTGCCCAGGTCCAGGCCTTACTCCTGCTCCAGAGGCCCTGCTGCCCACCCACCTCCCACCAGAGAAGCACAGATCTCGGGCAGCCACCCCACGAGCCCAGCCGGCCACCGTTACGTGCAGCTGCAGGCTTCTCCCCACCACCCTGCCACTCTCCACTGTGATGTACGTCCAGTCCCTTCTGTTCCCATGGGGCCGTGAAGTGACTCGGGGGCTAGCCGGGTGGGTGCAGCTGGGGGAAGGGGCTGGGTGGTGATTCTCCTGAGGCTTTGGCCCTGCAAGCGAACCCACGTATCTGCTCTGTATGTAATAAATGTCTTAACATCGTAGCCCTGTGTCCCTGGGCCCAGACCAGCGGGAGCGTTTGCTTCACTTTATTGTCTCAACAAATGCTGGCCCAAGCTGCGGGCCAGGACGGGCCACAAACTGGAGGGGCTCACAGGGCCGGGAGGCTACTCGTACAGCCAGTGCCCGGCGCTGTCCTCCCAGCACAGCAGCTCTTCGCCGCGGAACCAGAGCGCGATCTCGCGGCGGGCGCTCTCCACCGAGTCGCTGCCGTGGATCACGTTCCTGCGGGAGAGCTGCATGAGCGCCAGCGGCCGCTGGGGCGTGGCAGGGGCTGGGCGCGCGCTCGGACCGCCTTACTTGCCAACCTCGACGCAGAAGTCCCCACGGATGGTGCCGGGAGCGGCGTTGGCCGGGTCGGTGGCCCCGATGAGCGCCCGCGAGGCGCGCACCACGTCCAGCCCCTGCCACACCTGCGCGCGGGCCGGCGGGACTCAATGCACCGGCCTTCGGTCGGTCCCGCCCGCCCGCCC